AAAAAAATTAATTTTTTTGAATATACTAAATTAATGTAAGAGATACTTTTAAAATCACTCAAAAAAAAAATTATGAGATACATGAAAGTTAATCAAAGATACTTTAACAATAAGTATTTTTTTTTAAAAAGTGCATCTCAAGCTTAGTTGGAGATTCTTGGTCTCAAAGCACACCGAAAACCGCGTCTAGTTTCTAGTACATTTGTTCCCTGTACCATTGAGTAACTTAAAAGCATATTTTTTTGTGCAAATGATCACAGTATATATAGTTCCATGCTGCAATGTATTCTTCATCCATCATCTTCACATAGTTTCCGATTCTCCTGTCATACATCGTATCAAATAGTCAAACTATGGTTGTTCTGGCCACGAATAAACCTTTTTTTCTAACCATTTTCATCCTACTGATGAGAATTTTGTGTTCGAAGGCAGCACTTGATGCGCATTACTATGATCAAACATGTCCCCAAGCTGAGAAAATCATCCAAGAAAATGTTCGCAATGCTTCCATTTATGACCCTAAAGTCCCAGCTCGAATCCTCAGGATGTTCTTCCATGATTGTTTCATAAGGGTATGGCTCTTACTTTTTCTCATCTTACTAATGAGGCATTGATTCAGTAGTTAAGCGTATGCACATATGTAGATCGTATCTAACATTTCTTGCTATTCAACAATAGGGCTGTGATGCGTCAGTGTTGTTGGACTCAACTCCACAAAACAAAGCAGAGAAAGATGGCCCCCCCAACATCTCTCTCCGGTCATTCTATGTGATTGACGATGCAAAGATGAAGCTTGAACACGCGTGCCCCCGTACAGTTTCTTGCGCTGATACAATCGCCATTGCAGCAAGAGACGTTGTTGCCATGGTAATTCTGCAAACCTTTTAAGATAAGTTGCTCAAGTTTGGAATAACTAAACAGCGTTCTTACGTTTTTCTTGTCTTCGTCTATATTTTGCATAGTCTGGAGGACCTTTCTGGAATGTACTGAAGGGAAGAAAGGATGGAAGAGTCTCTAGAACTGCAGAAACCATCAATTTACCAGCACCAACTTTTAATGTTTCACAGCTAATTCAGAGCTTTGCCCGGAGAGGTTTAGGAGTAAAAGATTTGGTTGCTCTTTCTGGTGGCCACACTCTAGGATTCTCACACTGCTCTTCTTTTGAAGCTCGCTTGCGTAATTTCAGTTCAGTTCATGATATTGACCCCAGCATGAACACAGAGTTTGCAGGGATGCTGAGAAAGAAATGTCCAAAACCAAACAAGGATCGCAGTGCAGGACAGTTCTTGGACCCCACAACATCAACTTTTGATAATAACTACTTCAAACAGGTGGTAGCTGGAAAAGGTGTGTTTGGTTCTGATCAAGCGCTGCTTGGAGATTACAGGACTAGATGGATTGTGGAATCTTTTGCCAGGGATCAGAGTCTGTTCTTCAGAGAGTTTGCTGTGTCGATGGTGAAGCTTGGACGAGTAGGGGTGACTGAAAATGGAGAGGTGAGACTGAAATGCCGGTTGGTGAATTAAGGCTAATGATGGAGAAGCAGAAGAGGTCATAACTAAAAGACCAGTAATAAATCCAGAAGTTTTCCTTCCCTTTCATCATGATATTCAGTTTAATAATGTATCTAAAATCAATATTAACTATGTTTTGAATTGTTTTTGAATTCAAATAAAACTTGATTTTTCTGAGAATTCAGCAGAAAGCATGTTTAGGCCTGACCTGGAAATTGCTGATCATTCCAAATGCATGGCATTTTACAAAGAGTCTTGTTGCCTTTCTGTAATGATATAATCTAGCAACAATTTAGCATGCATCGGCTAGAAAATTAAAAAACAGGTCATCGTATCAGAATCGCCTTTCTCACCGTATTTTGATAAAGTGAAGAAACTGTTTAGTGTTCATCTTCTGTAAATTCTTGATCAGGTAGGAAAGGTAAGAAATACAACTTAGCTTGACTTTGGCAAAGCCAGAAATGCCATGAAATGTATGCTATTAGTACTTATGAGGAAGGAGGACAGCAATGATTATGATCTAGTGGCACTCAAGCAAAAGCTACATCTGAACGGAAGACATACTTGATACCCTTGGAAACATTTCGGGCTTCATGAAGCATGCATTTGTCTCCATGAATGTGCAAAAGGGCCATTCCTTCAGTAGGAGCCACCTGCAGGGTTGGGGAAACAAACAATAGACCAATAATCAAAATTATGGTTGGAAACTAACACATCAGGCCTCTGAAAGATTGAAAGCACCATGGAGGACAACTGCAATGGGAGCAATGGGAGCAATGGGAAAGGAAACAAAAAGAAGAATGAGAAAATCAAAGCATTTATACCTCAGCTACAATACTATTTCTTGAACCATAGAAGACAGTCTCCCCCCCAACCAGGGGCTCTGATCCAGAATCCTTGGGGTTGTTTGGATCATTTTTAGCTTTGGGCTTAGAACCACCACTTAAATATATTAACAAAGTATAATGGCTGCGCTTCCCTCCTCCAAGATCAACACTCTCATCAACATGCCGTCCAAACCGTTGACCTGGCTTGTACCTGAAAGTTAAAATATTCTTCAAGACAAGCCAAAGCAAAAACTATATGGTCTATCGCAAATCTAAGCCAATAAGAAGTCCCGCAATATTTTTCCATTATAGAAGGATACCACAAAGCATAAAATCCATTATAACCATTTCTATTTCAATTAAAATTACTTTGTTCAGAGGATTATAGCAGGGATTGCAAATCATGGATCAACCAGAGGCTGGAAGTACAATCCTTCCATGTGCAAATCTGGGGCATTACAATCTCACATCAATTAACAATGAACCTGTGAACTTTGGCTATTTGTTGACATTGGAAAATAAGACAAACATTAAGACAGAAATGTAGCAAACCTGTAAAATCTGATGTTAGGATTTAAGCCAACAGCAAACTTCCCCCGAATTTTAACGTCAGAAAATAATTTGCTGAGTCCAGACTGCCATATTTGATCAGCAAGAGCAGGATCATTCACAGACATTCGATCATTGTCACGATAAGCTTCACCATGTGTTGGACCAAGACTTCCTTGGTGGGCAAACCCAATTGATTCTGCAACTTTAATGAATGCCTTTGATTCTGCAGATGTAAAGAAATCCTGCACCTGAATATCTTAAAAATAGCAGAACTATTAACATTGGAAAAATTCAACAATATCATGTTCCAAAACAAGTCTCCTATAAAACACATATGAGCCAAGAAGCAAGTAATACTTGCTTAATTAGAGGTACTGACTACTAGACCTTTATTAGCATGCTCAATCAGACATAATATGCTACTAAAACAATTCAAAAGCCATGACTTGACTAGGATTGAGGGAAAAAACAGTAACAGTGTAACCAATTTTCCCATTCACTTCATCTAGCACCATAGTCACCTCTCTCTGTGCTTCACTCTTTTCCAAGTAGTCGGTTATCAGCCATGTCTGACTAGTTCATGGGGCAATAATTCCTACCTAAAACCATGTTCGGTGCTTCTTCAAGTAAAACTAGAATGTATTCTAATCACTATTCTCGAGCAATATTGCAAGTTATGGATGTCAAAGAACTAAGATATACAAACAAATAAAAGACCAATGCGTCAACAGTTCCTTCTCAAGCTGCACTGTACTCTTTCAGCCTACAAAATGGAACAGAACTCAACTCAAAGCTTGACTAGTAGCACTTGACCTCAAGGTTTCGTGATAATTCACCATGGACAAGTTCACCTCTATCCCATCGCCTCCCTCCAACAAACAAACAACCTAATATTGAGGGACAACTAAAGCTCAGTTGTTGGCCCAAAAAAAAGGAAAAAACTTAGTGCCCAGTTTGATTCATTTGTCTAATTCTACCCTATATAATCAACATCAGACCACAATTACAATTTACAGAGGCTCATAATCCAAAATACTATAAAAAAAACCAAACTTTTAATCAAGCATTCAGTCAACCCTGAAATTTTCAATGTGGGTATAATTGCAATCACTTAAAAGAATTGATTATAATTACCATCCCACAATCTTTATCTCCATAAAAAGTCAACCCATCTAAACAGCAGCAGCACCAAGAAACATAAAGGACATGACTGCATAAGAAAAATAATGTCTGGAAGGAAAAAGTGAAAACTTTATCGAATTGTAAAACGTACGGTGAATAGATCGGTGTCCTTGAGGCGGGTAACATGGAGATTCTGTTTGGGTTTGATAGTTGGCCACTTCGTCGCCTTCGGTGCTTCTCTTCTGTCCCCCATCTTCCTCTTCCTCGTTTCTGGCTCTGCCATTGCCATGGAATGTGCTCTTCCTTTCTTCGATCTTTATTTCCAGAACCAGAAAAGATTCAGAAGGGAGAAAAGAAGGGACCGGCCCGTTTTTAATTGGATGGATCTGATACGATGGATTCGCAGTCGGGCTCTTATTTTGGGCCGAGTACTTTAATCCTATATTTGGGTTGGTGGAATAGAATGAAGAGGAATTAATAGTTATAAAAATACATTAAATATACATTTAATTTATGTGTTAATGGCATTTATTAAAAAATATATATTTTAAATTCTAGTAAATGACTAGTGTTTATTTTTATTTAATAACTTGTCAAATCAATTTAAAATGTAAGTCAATTTTTGCCTAATTTAATGCCAAAAAAAATAATAAAGTATTGGTCAATTATTTCTTGGTATTATGTGTCATAAGGATATATAATTAAATAATAAAAAATATTTTATAATTTAAATTATAAAATAAAATAATGATACAAGTGCCGATTTGACGATTATAAGAGACCACTTATGTGGCTAGTTAAAGTGTGAAAGAATTTTAAGTGTGAAAGAATTTTAAGTCCTCATTCAAATGCTCCTAAATTCTAAGTCCTCCAAGTCCGGATATGACATTTAACTCACCACGTAAGTAATCTCTTAAATTCGTCTTATAAGAATCGACACATGTATCATTATTTTATAAAATGTTAAGCATGTAATGAAAAAAGATTCTTTATAATTAGAGATCCACTATTTTTATTTTACAATTTAAAATAATTCAAAAGATAATAAAATTTACCTTGTATAAAAGACCCTCAAAATTTTTCCATGTACGTGGTTGAATGGGGCACGTAAAAAAGGATTGGGAGGCAACTTTTCATATGAAAGAATGCAAGAGGAAGGTAGTGGAGTGACATGAATCATGGCTACAGGCTGAATTGGAAAATTTTTGGTGCCCGAACGGATAGCATTAATTAGTTAGATGATTTTTCTACTACTAATACTAGTCCCTTTATGGGTGATGAAAAGTATGAAGACACGGAGGTGACCTTGAGGAAAGAGCGACTACCCGAGGTGAGCACAAGGACAGAGCCAGCATAGGAAGGGGGCAACCACTCCCCCTAAACTTTTGAAAAATGTTAAATATGATACAAATATTTTTATTTTTTTATAAAATTTATTTTAAAAGTTTAAATTATATGGACCATTCGAATATAAGGAAAATATTTATGACTTAAATAAAGTGATCATTTGTAACTAATTTTTATAAAAACACTAATTTTATCCAAATAAGAACAAATATATATAAACAATACTTTAAATCTAATTATATTAAATATAACTTATATAAATTATTATATTGGTTATATATAATTTTTATTTGTATAATTAATATTCTATTAGATTAATGGTTGAATCTATTTTATTTATGTAAACATGTTTCAAATTTAAAATTAATTTGACATATGTAACTTTATAAATAAAATAAATTGTATTTTTATACTATTTATTTAATAATTTTAAATTATATATTATTTAAAAATTATTAAATATATTTAACTAATTTAAAATTTGACATGAATATTATAAATGGTATGTGCGTAAAATTAATATAAATTAATAAATAACTCACAAAAAATTTAAAAATTTTATCCCTCTAACATAAATTCCTAGCTCTATCCTTGGGTGAGCAACCGTTTTGGACATGAAGGTCCATAGTGGTAGTCGAATGGATGGTAATGGCAGAAACAGAGGCATGAATATGACAGAGCATGGAGATGAAATTAAAGAGTAGTGTTGTGCCTAGAGTAGTGTTGTGCCTACTGTAGTGTTGGTTCCTTTGGTGAATACTTATTTAGTTATTTGATGGTGGTCTTGGCCCGCAAGACCAATAGTTTGGCAGCATTAACGGCTTAGGTAGGAGTGGACGAGGAATACGTAGCTTCTGGGCATGGCAAGTGGAAGAGGCTAGAACGGAAATATAATTTGTAAATTCGATTTAACATATTTTTTAATATTTATTTTAGTTTAATTGTTAAAATATAATATAAATGTAATTAATTTTTTTATTTTATATGTATAATTATATTTTTTAATTTATTTATTTTTAATTTTAAATAAATAATAATAATTTTTTAATAAATATATTATATAATATATTAAATTATAATATGTATAAATCAATATCTAGCTAGACCATGTGATCTGGCTCTTTCGCCAAGCAAGAAAAAGAATGCTCGGTGCAAAGGAAGGTTAATTAATTCAGAGTTTGTAGAGGAGGAGAGGGCTTCTAAAGTGGTAACTCGTCAGTGGCCTATGTCTGCACAGGTAAGGGCCATGATTCTCCAGCAAGCTGAAGTTCCTTTTTTTTATGGGATGGCACTCAGTGGGATTGGACTGCTGTTTGAAACTTCCTGCCCTCTTCATGAAGCTAGTTTAAAAGGTGCACGTTTAAAAAGGGGAGAATGTTCATTAGTTTAAAATGCTTATAATGACCTTTTGTTCTATTTTAGTAACATTATTTATATTCATATAGTAATTGCTCATGCCATTCCTTAAGTATATGTGCTTTTCTATCTTTTAATTGTAAATATTCATTTTGGTAATTATAAATTTAAGTCTGTATGCTTCCGTTTAGGCTATAACTTCCTTGATAGGGAAATTCTAATGTAAGGTT